ATCACCACCAGTTTAATATATATTAGAGTAGAAACGTTAACACAATAAAGTAAGCCACGAACTAGCATTCATAGTCCAGAATACAACGTGCTGACGTTAATGGCAGTCGCCATTTAGAAGACATGGTAGCTTCTGGTCTAGTACATATATAAGCTATCACCATCGTCAGACCCCAGATCACTGACGGATATGTGAACTTCTAACAAACTACTTATGAGGGAATTCAAAGTATATCAACGTGAACGACGTTAGTAAGATAGGCTCCGTCAATGTCTTGCAAACATGAGCTGGAGCCCCACGTTTGACATATTGCTAAACAGAAGCTTTCGGTTCCATATCTCTAGTCATGTGCCTAATAAACTGGGGCAATACTTTAAGCATCAAATGGACGAAAAGCAAGAACCTTTTACATTTTTATACCTAAAACCGAAGGTCACTAATCCGGAGCATTCAGCATTCGGTAGCTTCGTTGCCCGGGATCTGACTCCACAGTCAGTGACGAAGAATGAACCTCCCGTTTAATACCATATATAAGACTTAAATTAATCCCGTCGGTCAGTGGTGGTAATATGTGCCAAATATAGGCCCAATATGAAGAGCTTGTTTCAAACGTCCGCTTACAATTACTTACTTACGACTGTTGCCGCTTGAGCGAGAGCATAGACCACCCACCTGTACAATCAGTCGAACTGTCACGGGTAATCGTTTCCAATTATTTGCAATTGTTATTCATCCTTTTCATGCCTACTTACAATTCTCAACACAGTACGTTCTTTGGTCTCCTTCTTTTCCGTTTCCTTTCAGGATTCCAAGTTAGCAGTTGCCACATAATTCAGTTAGATTATTTCCATAATGTATGTCCTATACAGCTCTAGGGCCTTTTCCTGATTTGCTTTTCAACTGAATGCTGGCTTATTCTTTTCCACAGTAGGCTGTTGCTGATGGTATTTGGTCAACGGACACTGATCATCCTACACAGACAACTGTTTATAAATACTTGTACATTTTTTATGGTGCTCGTAGTAGCTCTTCGAGTGTCAGCTCCATACACTAGAACTGTCTTGACGCTCGTATTGAAGATTTTAGCTTTTGTATTGATTGACCGTTGTTCTAGGTTCTGTATGTTCTTCAACTGTAGGAATGTGGCTCTTGCTTGACCAATACCCCTCTGTATGTCTGTATCAGATCCTCCACTTTTATTGATGATGCTACTCAGATAAGTGGAACTTTCCATCTCTTCTAAAGTTTCTCCATCAAGTGTGACTGGGTTGGTGTTCTCCATGTTGTAGTTAAGAATCCTGCTTTCTCTTTTGCATATGTTGAGGTTCACTGATTCAGAGGCTTCTGCTATACTAGCTGTCTTCATTCGCATTTGTTGGCATGCATAAAATAGAAAAGCCAGGTCATCCGCTAAATTCAAATTGTTTAACTGAATCCAAGCTGACAACTGTATTCCGTGCTTCTCCTGAAATATAGATCTTCATAATACAGTCAACTACCGGAAGAAGGAGGAAGGGGGAGAGTAAGCGGCCTTGCCTCACACTGATTTTTACTTAGAACACATCAGTTAGCTGACCTCCATACGCGACATTGCACTGTAGTTCGTCGTATGAACTCCGTATGATACTGACGATTTTCTCAGGCACTTATTAGTGTCGAAGTTGCCATAAGGTCCTCCTATCCGCAATGTCAAGTACTTTCTAACAGTCAATGAAGTTGGTGTATAGTGATGAGTATCATTCAATTAATTATTCACTGATGATCCGTAGTGTCGCAATTTGGTCTGTGCAAGACCTTTCCCTACGGAATCCAGCCTGTTTATTTAAAAGTTGGGAGTCTACCGAATTTTTCACCCGGTTTAATGGCACTCTAATGCAAGATTTTCACGATACTGATATTAGTGTAATTTCTCTGTAGTTCTCACACTTACTGAGATCTTTTTCTAGTGTCTCAATGAGGCATCCTTCATTACAGTTAGTCGGAACACTTTCTTCCTTCGTGTACGTTCTGAATAAGACATGAGGCATCTTTGCAGTCACCCGTATGGCTGACTTCAGTGCTTCATTTAGAATAGTGTCAGGTTTTACTGCTTTTCTACTCAGAATTTGTCTGGTGACCATTCCAATTTCTTTGATTATTGGTGGAATGACGTCTATACGAAGGTCTGTGTGTGTTGCTTCAATGTCCAGTGGATTCAGTGGAGCTACTTTGTTCAAGAGCTCCTCAGAGCGTTCCACCCATCTGTCCCTCTTTTCTTGAATCTCATTGATTAACTCACCTTCTTTTTTCCTGACTATTCGCTCTTGTTTTTGCTATATTACGCGTTTGTAATGTTGTTTGTCAAATGCTTCCTTAGCTTGTCTTTCAACATGACCTTAACCATATGGTGATGTGGAGCAGTGTCATTTCCTTTCCTACTTCACACGTTTTCCACTGACTTTCTAAACCTTTTGTTGACGGAAACATGATCGAACTGATTATCTGTAGTGTAGTCCAGTGAGACCTGTGTAGCTTTGTGTGTTTGGTTGTTAGGAGGATACAATGCCTCTTATAACCAGTTTGATGAGGGTACATGCATTTGCAAATCTCTCACTATTTACGTTCTTTTTTCATATCCCATGTCGTCTCATGATATTTTCATACCTGGTGATGTTCATTCCGACCGTGGTTCTTGGATCTACCATCAGGTTCTTTCCTTGAGAATTTGTTGCGATCGGTTGCACCCCCCCATAAAAACTGGTCATTATTACTTTAAATAGTGGTCGGGCAACAGTAAATAACATTCATTTTAATTCCGTCCTTCTTTGTTTAGAAGAGTGTCCTAATGATCATGGACCTATGATATTTCAATCCTATGAACGCTTCTCCTGCTATTTTAGATGCCATCAGTGCAACATCCCGTGTGTGCAAAGCAATTGAATCGAGTATCACAGTATCATTTCCAAATGTAATATTTACTGTCGATCTCCGATTCGATCGGTTTCACTCATCCCTCGACCCGTTAAGTTGTATCTCCACAGTTATTTGGCCGGCCATCTTGGTTTCCTACACTGTCTTGACATTCCACGTACCTATATTCAATGTTGTTCTGTTTGTTAGAAGGTGCATCGGTCTCCTGACTTTCGAAGATCTCGGCCCTAGCCATAATGTGCCATAATTCTTCTACGTAAATATCCCTAAGCTTCTAGTTCAGAGTTTAAATGATTTGAATTGTTTTTCTGGCTAACACTTTTTAGCGAGTTTTTTCTGTGGGATGAGTTTACTGACTTTATGCCCAACTCTTCTTTAATGGAGCTTGAGACCGGCAGAAACCTCAAAAAGGCTACAAACGGAGTTGTCTACTTACGCATACAGATGGTCAGAAGTATGATATGGAGGGAGGCTTTTCAGCCCATGTAAAAATAATGATCATTAAAGACAGTATTATAACCCAAACAGGCAATGCACAGTGTGACAGTTAGACAAACATTATAAAAAGTAACACGTCTGCAAACATACAAGTATATGTGTAAAAGTGTAGAACCACAGAGGCATGAGTACAAAAGGTATACGTGTTGAAGGCAACAATTTCTATGAAAAAAATATAGTCATCACGAAGGCCAAAACGACTCAACAGTCGCATACTATCTGAGCTATCAAATTCTGTCCACAAGTTAAGAAAGGTAACGTAAGTTTATTGTACCATATGCTACACAAGAACTTTTTATTTATGTATTGGTTTGTATTCTAGCGGTTTGACTCTGGTGAAATTTGGAATGCAGCTGTATTCGCAGACAACACATAGTTAATGCTTTCACTCAAGTCAGAATGCAACAAAAAATTCACTCGTGACTTGCATTAACTAGACTAAATATTTCGACCTACTCGATATAATAAGACGTTTTCAGAATAATGTGCTTCATTGCAAATGTTTTTCCTGAAAAAACAACACCAATGATGTCTAAATTCAGTTGCAAAGGGAAAGATGAAGGGACAATTTCTGAGATTCCAATTATGAATAAGGAGTTTCATTGAGACATAGTGAATTTAACTCATAGAAACTGTGTACGCTCCCATGTGTCTAAAGTGTAAGATGACTAGAAAAATAAGAGTACTGGGTTCGGACTTCGTGCGTTCCTTACTTCAAAAGTAACAAGATAATCGGTCACCACACTTACTCTTTCAACCGGACAGTGATAAATCAGCGAAATCGACTAGCAATAATAAAATAGCCAACCTATGATGTTATCAGTAGTACTATTTCAACACATGAAAAATGAATAAAAATGCGACACACGAGCAAACAAACGATCAAATGAACCAATTGGAGCATTCTTAATCATTCATGGTGCATACGATAAACTCAAATATACAGAACTTAAAAGTTCACCATGACACATAACTCGGATCTACTACTACAGTTATCTATTTTTGTTCCGTGATTTTAGTTCCAATAAAAGACTGTATAGGAATCAGAAGGAGTTGCTGGATGTGCTGAAGGAACGTGACAGAGCTTGAACAAAACGCTATCCTAGTTTGTGATTATCATTCAGAAACCAGTAATTTTAGACATTGAAGATGACACAGGTATTCAGTGTTTGACAACGCTTATACCAACAACACATTCTAATATAATTCGTACCCACCAAGAGAAATCATAAGTCAGAGTCGAGGAGATCGGAAGAGTATATTTGGCGATGACCAATATATCGGAATTCTCTGATCTAATCTGGCTAGCGATTGCGGTAGGTGTTGAGCACAGCGTTACCACACGTGATCTGATGCAAATGAATGACCGAGCGCCTTCAGCCAGATGAGTCCACTAAAACATATGGTCAGCATCCAATGTGGAAAACTTACAGAGCTATTTATTTTGGGGATTTATTTACCGCTTCAACATATAGTGGTGTTCTAATACCACAGTTTTTTTTCCCCATCAAAAGGCTTGTATATCTGTTTCCTGAAAAATGGTAACATGGCACTGGTACTCCCCAGCCTTACCCAATCATTTCAATTCTTCGGCTACTTCAAATCCGAAGGACGCTCGTCGACCTTGAGATCGTTAGGTGTTAAATATTTTCTATCTCCTGGCTGCTTCTCGTTTACTTCCAAATACCTCATCATTGTTGATTGTACATAGTACTCAATGTAAGTGTATGTTGTGAGTTTTGAGGGTTCTGGGACTCATCTGCCTCAGAATTCGGGATTTTTATTTCCGCTCGCATATTTGTTTTCCGGATTACTTCCTCGTTTTCGTATACACTAGTTCAGGAACACTGTAATTTTTCAACTCCAAATTAAAACTCGAATTTTCGCTCTTCTGAAGAAAGACAACGCATAGACTAGACATAAACCTGTTGACGTCTGAAATATATTTGTTATGATATGCGACGAGGCTTTCATGTAAGTCGCTATGCCTAAAATTTCCTTATTCTAAAATAGATCTTCGTCTTTAGATAACATGTCAAGCGAAAACATCAGTTCCTGGCATACTGACATACAACCAGCAGTCCAGCATCACATCGACCTTAAGTCAAAATTGTGGTCAAAAGAAATTCAGTTGGATGTTTGTGATAGATTTAGTCTTTCAACACTACTTGATTTTATGAATATGATTCGGAATTTGTCGTCTACTCACATAAAAAATAATCCTACATCTGAATCACCAGTGGATCACACTTACTTGAGTCTCCCTTCCAGTGTTTGTTTGGACAAAACCTCACTGACATTGCATTATCCTCTCAGTGATTATGGCTCTGTACACGATATTCTTTGTAAGAAAGAGGGCGGTTTGAACGAAAAACTGGTATGCGCCATTATGGGCCGAGTAGTATTGTGCCTTGACCAATTGCATAATAGTGGTTTACTTCATCGAGGTTTATGCTCGAAACATGTACTTTTCAAAAAAACGTTAGATCCTAACTCAAAGTCTCATAAATTAAGTGTGGTTCTCTGCGGCTTGGGAAGTATGGCACAGCTACCACCATCCTGGAGTACTGTGGCGCGAAACGATCTGCCCTTCCTTTATGTTGCATGGCGTGGTTGGAGGTTGCATGAGTCGTCAGGAGGTGAATCATATAGCCATCCAGTAGCATGGTACAGCCCGGAGTTATTGGCACAGGATTTTACTGGATATTCGTGGTCTTCAGATATATACAGTTTAGGTCTTATTTTGTACGAAATGTTCACTGGTCAACCGCCATATATAGGATGTCCTCCTTCTCTTATATTCCTGAAGAAAATGCTCCAGCTAGATTTCCCTCAACTTCACTATGTAAGTTCTATTTTTCTAAATATATAGACCCTCTTTAGTTGAAGAAATTACGTTCAAAAGCATATGATTTAAAAAATAAAAACTGATAAATTTGTATGTTAATTAAAAGTATTCGAATTAATGTACTAAGGATTTACGAAATAGTGCTATTTAAGGCAGATAGAACTAGATAAGCACAATTGGGCGTATTATATATTCATGATTCGTAATCGGCGCCTAACCATGTACCAAGGCGTCGTCAGTTGATACAAATACTACAATTTGTCGACTGGGATCTCCACTGCTTTCCATCGATAAAATCATGTGAAGATGAATTGTATGCGAATTGTACCTGTAAGTTGTCGACCAACGAAATTATCCATACACTGGCCCCATAAGCAGTTTATATAAGATGCTCTTGTTAAATTTAAAATTTCATTAGATCAAGTGTGAAGCTTTTTGTAAACACGTATAAGTTATTGATTACTTTGTTGCTAGTTTTTCTAACTCGTTAATCTCTTTTTTACATCCCACACCGTATGGATTTAACCATTAAAAAGACGAACAATTTACTCCACAACGTATATAGTTCAGTTCTCTCACTTTCTATACGTAATCCAGGTTGGAAATGTTACATTGCTTTCGTTAAATTATCTTGTTTACGCAAATTCACCTCACTTGTTCACTTTTTGTATATATTGTAGAACGAAATGAACTTTAATCCATCAGCATCCATTTGATACAGTTAGTCACAGTGCGACATGCAAATTATCAGTAAGGTTGATAAAATAGTAATTACAGACACTATTTATTGTAGTTTTCACTATATACTGCTTGTCGACCAGTGATGAAACTTATTGAACGAGTCATTATCTGCCCTCCGATTCCTTACAAAAAATATTTTGTTAAAATATAATGGTAATCAGACTTAACTTCATCCATATTCTGAAGGCTTTCCGCACACAGCACACTAAACTTCCTTAATCTTTTGCTGTGTCTTTGCAACAAACTATTCACTATGTGCTATTCATAACTGTCCAACAACTAGCGGTAATCAGTTAAAGTTTCCCCAGCTCTTGAGTTCATCGTACACCTCAACTAAAAATGCCTCGCTATCTACTGTTAAATCTTAAGTTAAACAATGAATGATAGTGGATTGTAATACAATCAAGCGTGCCTTAATAATATTCCAATTATCAGTCCACATTTGAATAAAAGGGTCCTAACCGATTTTCTTACATCAGGTAGATTATTTTTCTCATGGACATGCTTAGTACCATCAATTTCGCATAGCTTGACAAACCAATGTTCACGTCTCATTCGATATACGAGTAAACGGGGAGTAATTAAAGAGTGGCCGTTCATTGAAATTAGGTTAGAAGTTTTTGTTACTTCTTTACAGAAAACTTTGCAGGTTCATTTATAACTATTAGATGTACGCAGTTAGTAACTTTTTGAAATATTTAAGATAGGTATTTAATTGATATTGAGACCAACTCCTAATATTTTTCTATCCAAACCTATATTAAACTTCAATCTAGTACAATCAAACACCACCGGGTCGTTTTACATAAATCCAATTTAGTCCTCCAGACAGGTATGAAATTCATGTTACCGTTAGGTGTGCTCTTTTTATCTCTTTTCAAATATACTGGATATGCTAGATTTTTCTTCATTTAACCTTATTTAGCAGTGTAGGTAGGTGCAGACTATCTAGTTCCTGTCTGCGCAGTTATCGTTACTAATGACTGGGTACGTCGGGCGACATGGTTTGAAACTAGTAGCAACGGTTCAGATGCTCATTCCTTTATTCCTCGTTAAATAATGAGTCTTCCTGAATCATATTATCTACGCCCAATCTTTACTACTGCTATTATTTTTGAATGACATTTAAGGAGACAGTATTCAGCTATCTATATTAATAGCTAGTAAGATCATGTTAGCCTTTCACATTCAGTTATCAATTATATGTATCCTGACTCCGTTTGGACACCCGGGCGGTATCACAGCCCTCACCCAAATCCCATTTGATTTGTGTGACGCATATGTATCTGGTGCCCCCTTGTACCAGTATTTATGTGTTCAAATAAATATATATATATGTATGAATGTTGCGTTTCTGTCATAGTTGTCCTGTAAATTTTTATATCCTACTGGGGTTTACACTCATTTTCGCTAAAATATTTTATAATTCCATTTCTCCTGTTTATCTCCCATTTTCTTAACAAGAATGAAACTAATCCGCCCAGTGCTGAAATGGAGGCAATCTACAAAGCTTGTACGCATTATGATCCAAAACAACGTCCATCTACAAAAGATTTACTAAATATGCCATGGATACAAAATGGTTTAAACATAGTTATCACAACTAGCGAGTTAGATTCCTTACGTTGAAATACTCAACTAATCAAAACGGTAGTTTGAGCAAGTGACATTCTCTATATTAGAAAACTTCTTTACAGTAATATTCTTTATATTTTTACAATATTTACAATGAGTTTATAAATCGAGTGTACAGATGTATGTATAAATCAGAATTAATACGTGGTAGTCTAGTTTTTATTTGACTTTTATATCCAAACCATTTGGATAATGTTTTTTAAATCTTTCAACAACTGCTGGATCAACCAAATAAGTTCCGTCCAGTTGGTTTCCAAGCGTGATCCTGTGGTATTTTTTTGTTAAAAGATTAAAACAAAAGTGAAAAACACTAACAGTATAAAATAGCACTGTTAATCTTATGGTGGACCATTTATTAAGTAGTGAGTAGATAGTAAGAATTAGGGAGCAGGTTGTTTCATCGTTTCCTCTGCAAACGCTTAAACCGAGCACGCTAGATCCATTTTAGGATCAAAAATTTAGGAAACAGGATGCAGTTTTCACATTCTATTGCCTTAATTAAGTGGTAAGAGGATGTCCTGAACTCAAGTTTCGCATTAATTAGCACTGATCCGTATGACTTGCCTGCAATCTTGAAGCAACTGATGCTTCCTGTGTGATTGTAACTCACGTCACCCAGCTTTACATTCCAGGATCTTACCGCTGAGTTATCCAAGTAGTAGTGTTCCAGAGTATCACGGCGGACGATGCAAGTCCGGATCTCCGGTGGAGCACCAGTCCCCTCGAGACTGCAAGTACGCCTTGCTGACGAGGAAAAACTAGTGAGAAACCTAGCTCCAACCATCTAACATCTAAACATAATGAACGTGATGATGATTTACTCACACCAGTAATCACATAGCAACCTATTTAGTAAAATCCGATTACGGCTAAATGAATGACTAGGTAGACATGACACTAGTCGCTAGTGAGTGATTAGTCAAGTATAGTGCCTCACTGGTTGTACCACCACTTTCTGGTGAATCAGAATTTTCATATGTGCATTTATAAGAACTTGAAACAAACAATGAACTACTATCCATATGATTTTAATTGGAGCGAGAAAAGTAGTTGCCATAGACATAGAGTTCATCGTTTGTGTGAGGGCTGTGATACTGCCCGGGTGCCCAAACCGAAGCAGGTGGTTATCTTAGGGGGCCACTCCCCGAGTCTAACCCACAAGGCAGTGGAGCATCGTAAGGAGATGCAATCCCATGGTAGCCGGTGACCAAAGATTGGTTCATACGCCATTTGTTCCCGCAGGATACTGGAGCCCATGTGCACCATTGATTTGGAATCCGGTTAAAGCGCCGGACATTCGCTTTTCGTCCTCTCATTTTCCTAAACAACACCCCGGCCACGAGAAGGCAATGAGTAGGACTTCCCTGGCAGAGGCTGTATACGCGCGGCCGTGTGAGAGTATTTCGAGAGGGAGAGCGGACTCACCCCACTCTCGGCCGTACCAGGGCATTCGGGGTTTACTAGTAACTGACAACAAGAACAAAATCGACGTTGTGTAGATTTTTTGCCTACAATGAGTCGTGTTAGGCCGATTGTTATGTAGATGATATTCTAATTAACACTCTCCTACCTTGAAATAACATACTACGCCTGATTTGGTTAATATGCTATTAGCTACTACATAGAATACTGAAAGGTCACATATATTGTGCGAACTAGATCTTGCTGTTAAACAAGTACTTTTTCATGGAAGTGAAAATATTTTTAGATAACAATAAATACTATTCTGTCATTTTGATTTATGTTTCTAGTGTAAATCTAAATTAGAATATACATGTCTGAAAAATGAACATGGATTTACTCTTCATATTGCATGTTTGACACAGTTTAATTCTCTGGTTTCACAGTAAAATTAATATATATGCTTTTCTCGATGACTTCGTTTAGTTAATATACTGATTAAATGTGTAGATTCTTACCAGTTAGGCTGTAAGTTATGAGGACGTCCAAATAATTCGAGCTTGCGCGTACCAGGAGATAATCGTTCAATTATACCGTAGATTTCATCAGGTTTATGACTAGTTTCACGAACTTCAGAGACAATTATATCACAGTCGAGACCTCGATTTACACCCTTATGAAAAATACGAATATCGGTGTAAGAATATAATTAAAATTGTCCCCTAAAATAAAGTTAGTCAGACGTAACATACAACCTGGTACATATGTAAATTGATTCACGTCGCCACATCACATTAACGCAGCGAAATGAAATTATCAACACAAGTAAGAGAATAGTAGAAGTGGTAACGGTAGTAACAGACAAGATCAAACATAGACATGATTTAAAAAGAACCCATTTGTGTATAAAATGTATAAGGTAAAATATAAACTCAGTATCTAACGGTAGACAAATAGTGGATGCATCTGCGACCGATTCTAATACATGTTACTCATCTCTAACCGTCGGTTGCAATGATTATGCGGACCCTAACTAGATGGTCTGCAGTCAATAGTCAATGCACTCATGGACCGCCCATCATTGGTTCCTTCTAACTTACCACAATACCAAATATCACGTCGAAGTAGGCGGTGATTAGGTATACGTAATGCACGCCACAACCACCTCAGTCGATTTGTGACATTTACTTAATGTCCTACGTCTGACCTAACCACTGCTCTTCCGGTGGTCCCAAAATATGGAGGCAATGCTTTAAACGGATCTGTGATCACGTACTAATAGTCTACAAATATCCTTAATTCTTAAAGGTCACATTTCGCTGTCGTCATGTAGAACAGAGAGATATTGCTGCACGGTTGAGAGACGGGGATCTCATCTACACCATAAGTGGTGTAAATTAGCAGAAACTAATTGAGCTTATTGAATCCATACCGAAAGTTCATCACATAACAACCCACCAGAATTTATGAGACTTCCAAGATAAGTGAAGTAGTTGACCCACTGAACTACTTCATTTCCTACAGCTAGTTTGAGTGTCGACGCCAACCAGTAATGGTCATTCTTATTGAATAAAGAATAACTGATAAAATTTATTTTCAGCTTACTTTTGGGTTGCCTTTTACACCAACTAAACAATGTTCTTTGCCATGATTTAACCAATGTCCTGTACGTCCTGTCCGAATTAAACGTTGCAATTGGTTAGTTTTAACCCATATAATCTCATCTACGCGTTCGTAACCCCATAAACGTAAGCATTCTCGACCAAGTTCCATAGCTCTGTGATTTGAAATAAAAAATAACTAGAAGGTAATCATCCAAACTACAGAGTTTTGAAGCAAGAGTTGAGAAAGGTGTCAGAGTTTTTATTAAGGAATATGACAGTTTAAGACGCTACACACCACAGCAGCAATATGTCTAAAACTCAAATAGACCAAAAGAAAGTTACGTAGATCCTACAATTGCTCATGTGAAATCCAATTACAGGAAGTACACATATTTCAACAATCAGTTATTCCATGAACTAGTCTTACGCTTTAATTTGATGGTTATGAACGTTGTTTTAATCTACTATGCTAATTAGCATCACATGTCAAGATAAGTAGAGTAATACGCATATGTAACGATTGGTTCACCATTTAAATTAAGTAACATTCGAAGTAGATTCACACATCACATAATTTTATGGAACTATCCAATCTGAAACATATTTCTTAAACACAACCCGAAAAGTGGAACTTAAATATCTGGAAGAACGATTTTCAGATCTCCTGGTATAGAACAAAACATCACTAGTGTACGTTAAAATCGAGCTTATTAGTTGTAATTTAAATGAGAAAAAAACATTCACTGACCTTCCTGTTACCCATAGGAATATATAACCATCATCTTGTAAACAAGGTATATCTAATCGTCTCATCTCATCGTCTGACATTGTTCCATAGGGCAGTTCCATGTGTATATCCCATGGTGGATCAGCCATAATCACAGCAAATTTTCCAAGGATTGACATATTTATCAGTCGTATATCACAGTTAATCCACTAGAAAAGTGGTAGCAAATACTTGAAAATCAGTAATCTTATTCGCAGCATTGTGTATCAAGTGAGTTATTACTTGTTCAACAGTATATGCATTCTGAAGCACTCTACCAGTAGTGATAACCACTGCCTCTTCAGTAGTAGACAATTATGAAAGTAGGATAAAAAATTATGTATTTTCCTAAGAAATGCCCTTCTTTAGCTGAAACGGACGGACAATAATAGGATAAGTTCCTCTAACATGCGTTACGCGATACTTCCTTTTTAATTTCACTATTGTATTAATACTTCTTAGCCTCTGAGGGACATATGATTAAGTTTTGTTTACGAAATAGGACGAACGGAATGAATCTCTGAAGGTGCGACATCAGTGGTTTCCAATAATTCCATTGCTTCAAGGAAAACACATGCTTAGCAACTCATTTACCAAGTAAAAGTTTATGTAAATGGCTTTAACCTACATTGTTTATGTAGTGATACTGCAGTGAATTAGAACGCGGGCGAGGACAACTAGCTGTATTTGAATACAGAATTACAGAATCTCAGTAAAATCTGAGAACAATACAGTAAATACTTCATTTGCAAAATATCCATCAATTGTCTTAGACTATATTGTTCCTTCATTTCTATACCAATCACTCTCTGTTTTCGTTCTCTCCTCTTTGATCTCAACCTTCCACCAGGTATTCCACTTTCGATTGGTGATACAAACTACTTATATCTGTCGACATCAGTAATACATACCATACGATTCTATTCTTTAAACTGCGTTGGATGAGGCGGAGCTCGAACCCTCAACTTAATAATACATAAACAACTAATTTAGCTACTAAGAAATCAAACAGCCTTCCATAAAATGTACCAAACTCTTAATACTTACTGAATTCAAGGAGGCTGTCGTAAACAAGTTATGATTAATTTATTGAAACATTTAATAATACGAGTTAAAAATTGATATGAAAACTTTAATAGACTGATCAAAATAACTTGGATATTGATCCTATGATTAATAGTTGTAGTTAGAAGTATTGCCCACTTGACATACTTTGGAAATTAATGATTAGACCGTAAATATATATTGCCTGCCTAATGACTGCGCAAAATTCAGGATATTGTCCACTACGTAGTTCTTCTTGAAGAGCACATACCAACTGACCTTTGAGTAAAGATTCTCAAGTGTCTGTAGGATCGGATATGACCAGAGTTTTTAAATATCGATGGATG